ACATTAAGCTTGCTATGGGACGGTTAGGGTCTGATAGGCCTGCCCTAGAACGACGGATTGCATTAGCCACTGACTTCACTGCAATATCTTGGCCAATAACCCTCTTGTGGAGTACATCTTCCAATAGCAGTAGCTTTTCCTTTTCAGATTGTTGAAGGTTTGACACTGGAATACCAGTCCACTTGCTAACAATCTCAGCAATGTCAACATCAGTCACCTCTTCTCGAAGCATTGACTTGCCTGACTGCTGGAATTCCATGAGTTTGTTCTCAGCCTCTTCAAGCTGTTTTTGTAGCGACAGAAGTGTTCCGTACTTGAGCTCAGCTGCACGGTTCAAATCATACTCTCTCTCAGCAGCTTCAATCTCCAGGTTAACTCTGTCAGTCTACAACAAAGATAAGAAAATATGAGTTAGAGACTATATTACGTGCCATGGCACAACAAATAACAATTAAAAGAACAAACCATGAGCCTACCTCTTCCTTGATCGATCTTATGCGAGTCATCAAGGACTTCTCATATTCCCAATGTTCTGAAAGGTTTTTCTGCTTCTGCTTCAGAGATTCTAGATCAGCTTCAAGCTTGCTCAGTCGCTGTTTGGAGGCTTTATCGGTATCATTCTTCAATGAGAGCTTCTCCATTTCAAGCCTTATGATTTCCCTATCTACCTCATCCAATTCAATAGGTTTCGATGTTATCTCCATTTTCAGCTTAGCAGCTGCTTCATCAACTAGGTCAATAGCTGCCCATGACGTGGAAGAAATTTAGATCAAGAAAAACTGTAGAAGGATTAAATTTAAGCTCCCATAATTGTTGATAATAAAGAACATGCAGTACCTTTATCAGGCAAAAAACGTCCAGTGATGTAGCGATCTGATAAAACAGCCGCAGAAACAAGAGCTCCATCTGATATTTTGACACCATGGTGCAGTTCATACCGCTCTCTTAGGCCACGCAGTATAGAGATTGTATCCTCAACTGCTGGCTCACCACAATAAACCTGCTGGAACCTACGCTCCAGAGCAGCATCCTTCTCAATGTACTTCCTGTACTCATCTAGTGTTGTTGCTCCAATGCAACGGAGTTCACCCCGACCTAACATTGGCTTCAGCAAATTACCAGCATCCATTGCCCCACCTGCTGCTCCTGGAGCAGGAAAAAGGTAAGGTGTAAGCACAACAATAGTCATAGTAAGAAAGGCCCGACCAATTTGCCACAAGTGCAGATATTGGGCAAAATAGTTAATGACAGCTTCAAAGTAGCATAATAAGACAAATAAAATGAGATAATTGTCTAAATAGAAGCACTAGTGACTACCAATCTAAAAGTCAGACAGTATCTTCCACCACATGAGTATGTATGTATGCTTAATTTGAATCATTCAGCCAATTTGCCACTAGTGCACATTTTGGGCAAAATAGTTAATGACAGCTTCAAAGTAACATAATAAAACAAATAAATGAGATAATTGTCTAAATACAAGCACTAGTGACTACCAATCTAAAAGTCAGACTACTATCTTCCACCATATGAATATGTATGCTTAATTTGAATCATTCAGGTATCAAATTTAGTTAAGCTAAACATGTGACACCTAATGGACAATTCAGAGGTTAATAAAAGCTAAGTGCTAAACAAACATGGCAATGGCCAAATACACAGATATACAAACCTGCACCAACAATAGTGTGGATCTCATCAATGAACAAGATGATCTGCCCATTCGAGGCAGTGATCTCCTTCAGAACAGCCTTAAGTCTCTCTTCAAATTGACCTTGGAATTTAGCCCCAGCAAGTAATGCTCCCATGTCCAATGAAATAAGCTGTAATTTTTTGCATATGCATGTAACAAAATAAGAATGGATAGCACAATAAATTACTATCTATTTCTTCTTCCTTTATTTTCTCATTGCATTAACGAACTGAGAATGCATTGTCCTATTGGCCAGAAGTATTCCTCTTAATGGATCCACCTGACGAGAGGTAGATGAATTGCCACTACTCATGGAAAGATCTCATGGTATATCTATCCTCAGCTCATCTGGTTGATTGAATCTGAGTATGAAATAAAAGCAAGGCTACTATCCTAGAAAATGTTATGATAAGGACAAGCAAAAAAGGCTAAGAAATTACCTTTCTATTCTGTAAAGGTTCAGGAACATCTCCCCGCACAATACGCTGTGCCAATCTGCACGAAATAAATGCAGACGAATTGCTCAGCACATCCTTAAAATGACAAATGCTGTAAGCTGTAAAAAGTAACTTGTATTGAGAGAGAGAGAGAGAGAGATAGAGATAGAGATAGATTTTACCCTTCAGCGATAGCAGTTTTGCCGACTCCTGGCTCACCAATAATTACAGGATTATTCTTAGTTCTCCTGCAAAGGATCTGAATGCATCGTCGCACTTCATCATCACGGCCAATAACAGGATCCAGTTTTCCACGTCGAGCTAATTCTGTCATGTCAATACCATACTTCTCTAGAGCCTGGTACTTCCCCTCCGGATCTGGAAGCAGCACCATAAAAAGAGTTATGATTCCTAAGGTTATCAAACAGTCACACTGGGTACATTTTAATGCTAACATGAAAAACCATCTGGCTGAAACAAAACCATTGCCATTGGCAGAGTCTCCCCTCAAGTTGTGAATAGAGAGCTGAACAAAGAGATACCTCTGTAGAAAAACAACTGCACAAAAGAAAGTAACAATAAAGGATGAAGTTACATAGACATACTCTGATCTGTGACCCGCTGACTGCCACGTACAGCGGAGATAGCTTCCTTCAACTCATTCTCCCCAATTTTGAGATCTCTGAACAGCTGTTGTCCAAACCTCTTATCTTCTGTGAATGCTCGCAATATGTGCTCAACAGATACAAACTCATCAGCATATTCTTTCTTATGCTTCCTTGCATTATCCAAAATTGATACAAAGCTTGACCCAATGATCGGTCCACTTGTATCGCCAACAACCTACAAATGCAGCAGACTCATTGTTAACATTGATGCATATATCTCTTAACGAATTAACTACTACGGCCAATCAGCACTACCTTTGGCTGTCTCGAGATGAACTCATCAGTAGCTTGCAGGACAGATGTGTTATCTATTCCAGCTTTCGAAAATATTCTGCGCGCTAAACCATCCTTCTGCTCCAGAAGAGCTTTCATCAGGTGCTCTGCTTCCACTACTTGTTGCTTCGACATTCTAGCTGCATCAACCGCGCCGACAACCCCCTCCCAGGCCATCTCAGTAAATTCTCCTGGAGTTATCTGTTTGGTCGCCGAAAAAAATTACCCATCTATTAGTCAGCTGTTGTTGGCAAGAGGGAACTTTCCCATATTGTCTATATATGACTATATATCCACAAACTGCAAACCATATGTTCTCAGTTTTCATAGTAATCACCAAGTTTTATCAAATCTGATACATAGCTGTTCTCAGTTTTCACCAAACCTATAGAATGATCAGCAACTGCTTTCCTTCAAGGTTTTCTAGGCATGAAATTGTTAAACACTGACACATTGCACATCCTAAATTGCCTGAAACTAAACACTTTTGCATATGCACTGCAACATGATCACTGAGCATAGCAGAACATTACACATGTAAACCGTAGTATCCAATTAATGCAGTAGATTATCAAACATGTATCGCAAATTCGCAACTAAACTAACAGTTTCATTCACAATAGCCTCATTGCCGACACATGTACAGCATCCGCGAGATTGAATTCACCACCACTATAGCAACCAACTGACAAGAGAAAAATAATTGCACGGGCGTAGAGAAGCGAACCCAGACCTGAGACGACGACGAGGTGCTGTACCTCGCCGCCTGCGTGGGGTGGAACAGCCTCCGCTGCGGCGGCGGCGGCGGAACCAGCAGCCCGCCTCCACCGAGCCGGCCCATGGGCGGCGCGAACCACGCGGGCCTCCTCGCCCCACCACCAGCGGAAGCGGAAGCGTCTCCAGCGAGCGACGCGAGGGCGCGGAGCGGGTCCCGGCCGCCAGCGTGGTGGCGCCGCGCCGCCGCCGCGGCGCGGGCGGCGCGCGCGAGCCTGGACACGGCGGTGGCGCGTGACATCGTGGCGAGCGGGTGGGGGGGTCAGGGGTTCAATGGCGCCTCGGACTCTCAGGGTCGCCGGGTGGGAGAAGCGCGCGCGCTCTCGCGGCGATTTTAGGGCGGCGGCGGCGAAGGGTGGCGATGCTTGGAGAAGGGGCAAGAAGAAGAAGAAGAAGGTGGAGAAGAGAATCGAAGGTTGGAGAAGCTTCTGCAATCTGCAAGTTGCGGATTGTTTTGTTTTTGTTTTTGTTTTTTTCTTTTTTTTATTTAATTTAACTTTGATCGTGTTCGGCAGCCAAAATCATCTTATCCGGCCCGTTTATTTCCGAATCGACGGTCTGAAATTTGGGCCCATATGAGCAGGGTTTCCAACTTGGGTTCGAAATTTCCTCCCTCCGTTTCATATCTACTTTGACCAAATTTGAAAAAAGATTTAGTAATATTTATGACACCGAATTAGTTTCAATAAATATAATATTGAATATATTTTGAGAGTGTTAGAAATATTGCTATATTTTTCTATAAGTTTGATTAAACTTAAAAAGTTCGATTAAAAAAATCAAAACGATCTATGATATGAAACTGAGGTAGTACACTGTACGGAGCTATTTCGTCCAAAATTTGCAAGATTTATTCAAATTCGGTCGAAATTCCTCCAAAATTTATGTTTCTTCGTCCCGAAATATGGAGAATTTGGTTCAGTAATCAGTTCAGGCTGTAGTTCAAAAGCTTCTCTTCAGAAATCTGCAATTTCAATATACGCAGCTCAGGTCTTAACCGGACACATGAATTTTTCCCATCTTCACAAAACTGCAAAACTAAAACAACTACCTTTCCAAACAGCAACATTCTGCTGAAATCTCATAAGATGCTGGCATTGCAACTTTGCAAGCTTGATAAACACCGTCACGAAAAAGATTAAAGAGCCAAGAGAATTTCGATGATTAACGAGAATTTTACCAAGCATACTATATTATCAGGATAACCGGTTATACCTGAACTAACATAGTTATTATAGTATAAGTCATGATAAAAACACACCACATAGCCGTTTCTCCACATAAATTTCACAGACTGACTGGCCAACTAATAATCACTAAGCTGAAAAAAGAAGCCAAATGTGAAATGCACTTGTGATGAAGGCTAGCCACTATGAACACCACTTTGTGCTGACAAGTGAGCATGGACCAATCAGCAGCCGACACCGCGAATGCAGAAAAACCTCGTACGCGGACTAATGATTGAAATGGAGGCTGGCTAGACCAGCTCCCAGTCCCCATCGATGTAAGGAACGCCGTCGTCTTCGCGGTCCTGCATCGATGAAAGATGGCGTTGTCAGATACATAGTATACTCATTGTTTGTACTTCCCAGCATGGCAGTTAACATATTGATTAAGAAATATGTGGTACTGAAACTAAACTTAGAAATCTCTTCAGAACGAATATGAAATATTTCAATACATATGTTGCTGTTTCATACTATAATAATATAGTGCAGACTGCAAAGGATTAAAGGTGGTACTATGCAGCAGAAAATATCTTGAAGGAATCAAACATGAACATGCTTGTGGACTACATATGAATAGAGATGAGTAACGCACATCCATAGAAAAGTGAGTGTTTGATAGACTACTACTGTGTCCAGAAATTTTCATAGGTCACTAAAGACTGATCTGCTTGAACAACACAAAGCAATAGAATTCTGAAACAGAATACCAATATAGAATACTCTTCTAAAAAATAAATACAAGAAAGAATCATACCGGCCTAAACATGTCAACAACAATGTCATCTAGACCACCACTGAGACCCCTTTGCAGCCCAGTTGTCCGCATAAGATCGTCATTATAGTTTAGCTGATTGCTAACAGCTTGGTGATGAATCCTTCCATCTTGCATGGGAGAAACAATGCCCGTATTCCCACGATCCAGTGTCTGCCTTGGTACAGCCGGATTGTCTAAGCTAAGGTTGGGCAACGATGTGTTGATGCTGGAGTTACTAAATACATGGCTGTTATTTAGCATGTCTCTTGAGTTTGTGCTGCTTCCATAGTTGAATGGTGATGTGTCCTGATTGAATGCTATTGGAACATTGCTAGCTAGTGATGCTACTTGGCCCTGCATCTCATTTCCCAGCAGCGGAATCTGATTGGATGATGTGAAGCTTGAGACAGGTTCAATTTTGGGGCCATTCATATGCAGGGTGGCTTGCGACATGTTATCATTGTGACCACGATCCTGAATGTTGGATGGAACCGCAGTTTGCCAAGTATTGGTGGTTCTTCCAAGATCAGGAAACTGGGGAGACTCACCAACAAGTGTGCTAAATGGATCTGCAGAAGATGAATGCACCCGACTAAGGTGTTGCTGATTGCTCGACTCAAGAGGTTGCAGTGATCTGTTTGCAGTTGCCAGCGGTGCACCATTCGATATGTTTGGAAAGGAGTTACCAGAAGGACCAGTTAGAATTGTTGACATCTGTGCACCTCTGATCATGTTACCATTATTAAGCCCTCCTAAATCATTCAGTGAAGTGCTCAGATTATTTTGGGCATGTCCTAACTGAATTGGCTGTGAATGCAGCAAACCATGAACACCAAACGCAGAAGGGGAGTTCATCCTAGTAAGAATGTTGTTTGCCTGGGTATGGCCAGCAGTTGGGACTGTACGGTATCTACCATATGCGTTGTAGTTTCCAAATGAATTCATGTTTATGTAAGCAGGGTTCCTTCCTCCAAATGCAGCTGCAAGGTTAGCCTGCCTGCTTGCATCAGTGCTCAACCGTTTAAGGTACAGCCGATACTTCTGAAATGACAAGCAGAGAAGAAACATCAGTGAAGTATACTTGTAGGTGCAAACAAGAGGAAAAAAAATAGCTAAGAAATGAATAGGTTAGCAAAACTCTGAATTTAACACTGGTGAATTAGTACTTACGATTGCACAATCAATATACTAGGAAAATGGTATGAGAACATAAATGTTATATTTTGCTTCTCGTACAAATACTGAAAAAGAACTCAACAAAATACAGAACATGCAACAATATGAATTAGGAATATTTTAGGGCTGTATTATCATATATTAAAAAAAATCCTCTTTCAGATATCTGGGACAATAATAACAATAATTTGGTGCAGTGATAAACCATAGTAAACAACATGATGAAATGAACGGTCAAAGATAAGGAAAGAAATTCGACCTGCAAATGACTAGCAACATTCTCCCTGGTGATGTTCTCTACATTCATGAGATCCAATATTTTCTTTGGAACAGCCTCTGAAAAAACAAGCATACAAATATTAACACATATGACATTGAACTAAGAAAAATAGCCAGCCAATATTCTCAGTAGCTAGGTTGTGAGAAATTATCTTACTCTCGATGCCAAGCTGGTTAACAGCAGCCACAAACTTTCGGTGCAGCTCAACAGACCACACGACCCTTGGCTTCTTCTGTGTTGATGAGTCTCCATTCTCATTACTGTTCTCATCAGAATCATCACCATCATCTCCATTCTCATCTCTACTTTTCCGTGACTGCCTCTTGTTGCGGTTAGCACCAATACTCTCACCTTCATTGTTCATTCCCTGTGCCTTCTGACCAGCGTCATCATCGTTACCACGGTTCTTAGCATCACAATTCTTACGCCTAATCACATGTTGCCATATCGTCCTTAGCTGCTCAAGACGCACTGGCTTCAGAAGATAGTCACATGCACCATGGGTTATACCCTTCATGACAGTTTGTGTTTCCCCGTTCGCAGACAACACTACATGACAGATAGTCAATTCAGAATGTAAGGTAAGGTTCATGAATGCAGTCAAAGTAATGTTATTAGATCCGCGTTAACATAAACGCAAACATCGTTGGTCGACCTGATGTTTCTCAGTCAGTTTGCAGGAGAACGTTCCAAATAAATGTAAAAAAAAAAAAAAAAAACTGGCTGAGAAGTAAGAGGATACAGCATCATAGTCATTTGTGCAAGGCAATCAGGGTAACTAACAAGAGCAAACGTGACGGTATCTACCAAATTTTCGCATTAGGAAACTTTCATCGGTTACCTGACCTACGCACCAAACCAACAGTAAAACAGAAAGGAGCTTTCCAAAAATAGATTTGAACCAAGAAATTTCATGAGTTTTCCATGTCTCACACTTGTTGCCATTTTCAGCTAACTACCTTATTGCTATAAATAATCATGTATCTGCAACCCAAGCAGTTCAAATGAAGTAAAATCACTCACTAGATGTCTAGATCTCATGCAATCCACACGCATCTTACTAGAACATACTATCTCTGGTTACAAGAATGACACATCAGATCAAGCAAAGCATGACTTACTAATGACTGGGAGGTCCATCTCGAGGCCGACAAGCTCAAGGAGTTTGAAGCCATCCATGTCCGGCATGTGGACGTCGCTGATCACCAGGTCAAACTGGTCCTTGTTCTCCCTGAGCAGCTTCAGGGCCGTGGCCGCCTGACCAGTTGTTGTCACTGCAAATCACACCACATCAAATCCAATCAGGCCAGATTCAACAACACAATACATAGGCAAGTCAAAATTATCAAAAGAATTAGTACTACTACTATTTTGCTGCAACAAGGAAAAAAGGTCAGCAGAAGATAATCCTTACACAACCACCATGTGTGCAACCCAAAGAACAGTAGAAAGGATTGGAGATTCAGACAGAAGGGTTGAAATTATATCGAAGAAAAGAGAGGGGAAAAAAACTTTTTTTAAGAGGAAAGGGGCAAAACCCGTTCTTGAGTTGACATTACATGGCCGAAGAAATAGACCACCAAGAACAACAGAAACATCTACGAGTGAAACTGTGAAAGCCAAGCAAAGAAGAACTAGCGCATCACCAAAAAAAACAAAAATTAAATCCAAGAGAGAGAGAGAAAAAAAACAACTATAGAACAGTACTAAACCAAAACGAAAAAAAAATTGATCGATACAGCACAAGCTCAATCCACAACCATGGAGAGAACTCGCTCGCTCGCTCGCTCGAGCTCGAGAGAGAGAGAGATTGCAGATTAGCAGCATACCGTGATACTGGCATCGAAGCAGGAGGTTCTCGAGGATCTTGAGGCAGGTGGGGTCGTCGTCGACGGCGAGCACCCGCATGCCGACCGGGAACTGGTCTCTCCCGCCGCCGCCGCCGCTCACACCATGGCCTCCCACCCTCCCCTGCCTCTCCTCCACCGTCATCTTCCTCCAATCAATCAACCAATCAATCAAACACAAACAATCTCCCAAACTCCTCCACCTCCAAGCAACCCAAGAAACAGCACTTTCTTGGATCCTTAAAAATAAAAATCCAAAGGTCAAAGCAGGGTGAGCGAGAGCGAGCACCACCACCAAAGAGAGAGAAGTGCGGGATGGATGCGATGATAATAAGAGGAGAGGAGAGGAGAGAGAGAGCGAGAGGTAGGGGATGATGGATGGATCGCGGATTGGGTAAATGGAATGGATTGGAGTGAAAGAGAAAAAAAAAATTTCATATGCAGTGCAAAGGTGGAAACCTTTTTTTTTTATTTCCCTCCTCGCCTTTATTTTCCTTTTACGCTTCCCCTGTTTCATGCCATTTATTCGCCTCTTTAAATCCGTCCATCAAATATGGGGCTGTGGGTCGGGGCGTGTTTCGTGTTTGTGCTCCTTTTTTTGAGAGAGTTTCTTGGTCACCTTTTGAATTTTTACTGTTACTGTTTTTGCATTTATTTGGTGGTGGATATGGGTCGTATGTGCTTTGTTTAATTTGGACTTAGGTGAAATATGCCGTATTTGAAATTCGCACGCTTTATAGAACCCGAATCGGTTGACATATAGTAAGATGATGTGCGTCACTCTAATGCCTCTTAAGATTCTATATTTCGGTGTAGGGTTTAAATATTTTTTTCCAACAAGCATTTATATGTATATATATTTTGTTATGTAATCACGACTTTAAAATAACGCTAGCAATTACGCGACACCTATTCGGAGATGTGGGTAGGTGTTTGTACTCTCTTTAAATCTAATATCAAGACACCTTTTGAATTTTATTATTTTTCATCTATTTTTATAGTAGATATAAGTCTTATGTGTATTACCTATATGATTTTATCATATATATGCATGAAAATATGTGATAAAAATATATACATGCTTGAAAACGAATCGGTTAGCATATGATTTGTTTACAATTACGATGCCTTTAAGATTTTTCATTGTATAGGTAAGGTTTCAAGTTTCTTTTCCAACATTTGTGTATATGTATTTGTTGTGTAATTGTGGCGTTAGAGAAAATGTTACTCCCTCTGTTTTGGGTTATATGACTTTTTAGCATGCTAGAAAGTCTTATGACTTGAAACGGATAAAGTAGCTCGTAATTCAATCCCGATTATCTACTGTATTGCATAGGCATGTGAGCCCGAGGGTATGTGAGTGATCCTCGTTCCTCGCAATTACACAACTGGTTAGGGTGGAAAGCAATAGTTTTGGCATTTCTCAATTTAATTAATTAGTCATCATCCAGGCACCTCTTTTTCTCCTATTGTTGGTGCTGACGTGGCTTGAGCTGGCCTTTGCGGCTGGTTTATGGAGTATATAACTTGATTAAAGTATATTGGTGATAAGATTAGTGATGCTTGACAGCTAGATGTTACATCCATGCCCGTCTTCTCCCACTTAATTCTTCCTCTCATATTTCTTGCATGCTAGGCAGCACGACAGGATCAAAGATTCACAGATCTATATAGACACGCACATATATATACTATCTCTCATAGCTTGGAAGGAAGGAAAAACATTTTAATTAGCTGTTGCAATCATCCCTAATTTCTTCAGTTTGGCCCTAGAATTAAGGAAGGCATCTAAATTACTGTGAGATGTACAATTTTTTTCACTCAATTTTATCCTATCCAAATCCTTCCCTTTGTTAGTTTTCCATATAGCAAAACTCCTAATTCCAAGACATACGGGTAGAGTTCTTTTCCCATGAAAAAAAATCATTTAACTATGGATAAAATTTCCTTTTTCACTTTTCATACCCTACATAATCTTTGCATGTACTTTACTGAAAATCTTCTAACTGAAATAGCTGTTGATGATTTTGCTAACTGAAAACTAAAGCAAAATGACCTACTCCTATTGAGTATTGACCTTCCCATATTCCTGCAGGGAATGGCCAATCAGCCGCCAAAAAACCCATAAACAAATTTGCACATGAAATAGCTGGGGTTGTTTAATATGCGTATACGTTGTCCTTGCATCTTATATTATACTGCCCCAAGTACGTGAGTGATCAGCAGTACATTATTGGCTCACACACCCTGTGTTTTGTACTTTGTGAACAATATTCTTTAAATTTATTATTGTTCCTGCCTTTTTAATTTTATATGAGTATTAGATCCGTGGCAATATTCTAAGGTATCAGTACACGTCAACTTGCCCTTAAGGAATCTCATCTTGGGCACAAGAGAGCTGTGGGTGATTTCTTTTTTATAAATCTCATCGATTATTTTTTTGTAATTAAGTAGCTAAACACATAGAAAATTCGAAGACCTTAATTATAATGACAATGAGAAATTAAAGCTCGATCGGATCCAACAACGTGCAAATTGTTCGTGAGAAGAAGAGTTATGGTATCAAAGTACTGGCCACGATAATTGCGTAATTAAGGAGGGAGCTTGATTTGCATAAAAAATTGTGGCACACGCATTACATGAGAATTAAGAAATGTAGAATTAAAATATTTATTATACATTCACAAAAGCAATGGACAAAACAAGTGATTTTTGCATAGCTGTGTGGATTAATTATAGTATGTGGTGAATAAATAGTTGATGACTAATTATAAAGAATTATATACATGTGAAAACCAATAATAAAATAGAAGTGTGTAGACTTCACCTGCTGTTTGCCCCTATAATAATCCAAGGTATATTTTAAGGACCCCCACTAACCCAACATATCCATGCAAGCAAAGATGAAAATCTCAAAGGCTAGCAAGTGTGCTACACAAAGTGCCAATTAAGACAGCTCCTGATCTCATCTCCCACAACTAAGGCCTGATTTTTTTTGTCTCTAATTATTTTGTCTATCTTCCTACTCATGGACCACATATTCTGATCTGTTTTGTTTTGTTGAATCCTAAGACCAAACCCACCCAAAATATGCCCCCCATCCTATATATCATACAACCTAGTGCTTCGACAAGTTAATGCTAGCTACAACTAAGTAGGCCAATGTCACATCTAATACTAGCCCATATATTTTGTCATGATATGTAACTTTGGTCTTGCATCCATTTGTTGGGGTCCCTCCCATATTTATTCCAAGTGGCACCATGTATATATAGGTCTTCAATTCCTTTGTGTATATCTGTCTTTTAGCTCTCCTTACTTTTAGCACCAACACAAGTATGAGAAAAAAGAGATATGGTGCACTTGAACAAAATTTGAATGATGGAGTTCACTTTAAGTGCATTGCATGGTCTAGCTCACTCCCCCCATGTTGTGTTATGTCTCCATCATGAAAAGCCATCTTTTGCCCCTGAGTACATGTGACATATTCCTATATATCCGACCATAATAGCAACTGTGGCTTTTTCCAAAAAAAAAAATGTTGTTGATTGAAATATTTTTAACTATTATGGTGCTCTCATGTCATTTGGAAACCGAAACAAATTATCAGCAAGGTTTTTTAAAAGCAAAAAGAATATGGATTTTGAGCTTGTAAGTTAAGTATGGTTCAATGACATGATATCCTCGTTCTTATGACGCCTCCTCTTCATTTCCACATGTCATAATTCGAATACACACAATTAATTAACCTTTTTAAAAAATTAACATCTAATTCAAACGGAACATATATAATACACATGATAACTTTGCTAGATTTTTCATAAGAATTATGTTGTCGATGAATTTTCTAACTACATCCATCTCAAAATATTAAAGTACAAAGACAGCTAAAACATAGTAGTACTATATTTTAGGATATAGTATGAAATACATATAATTCTTGCTGATATAATTAATTAATGAAGTGATGGCCAGAAATTGGGTAAAGTACTAGCACTAGCTAAAGATATCTACACAGCCAAACCTGACATGTATTAGTAAAAAGACGAGTAAATCAAATAATTAATTAATCAATCAATCAAGAAAAAAATGAATGGATCCAGTACCTTTTGTTTACCACTCTAGCAGAGCTGCGAGTTTGCATTGACCTAGAGAGAATGCAGTGCTGATGAGTAGGAGTACCAATTCGTGCATCGTCACTCTCTCTATGGGACACAGCTAGCTATAACAACATTCATGTCAGATTGGGCTAGCTACCAATGCTGCTTTTGAGCACCCCGGATGTGTGTACTGCTACTACCAAGAATGGCCTCCATTTCTTTTCCTTTCTCTAATTAATCTGGTTGCTTTGCTTTAAGTTTGCTTCTTTCAAGAAGACACTGATTCCTACTAGTATCTCAAAAAGAAAAAGAAGGGGGAAAAATATTCAGGGTCCATAACTAATAAAGTGGTCAGTATTTTGGTGCAACATGTCAGATAAAATTATGGTCATTTCCTAGCAAAGTTCAGTCAAGAAATTACTCCATTTTTCATAGAGAGAGAGAGATGCAGTACAATATTTTTTGACCAATAAATACTGTATACTCAACAAGAGAAAAAGCAGTTTCACTACTGTCAAAGCTGCTTCTCTGATCTCTCTGCTGCACATAGTAGTAATGTTACTATTATAATATCTGGAACAGAGCAGTGCTCGGTTTAAGCCTCTCTGATTAGCTTTAAAATTTACAGTGATTTTTATGAGCTACTGACCCAGTCAGCCAGCCAGGAGTTAATATGAGCCAGGGATCAGAAGTTCAGAACAGAGAGGCTCGTGCATGGTCATGCACTCACGTACTCTACTACTGTAGTCTACTGTATCTATCTATGAGACTATGGCCGTATTGCATTTTTTTTCCTTATCTATGAGACTATGACCGTATTGGCTTTTTTTTTTTCTTTCGTAATTTGAGAATGTTTTTTTTACTTGGTCTCTATATCCAACCAGATATATGTAGCCTTTTTAAACTAAGAATTTAGTCTATCAAATAACCCAATATGAAATTCGCTCCAGTGGAGATTTGAACTCAGGACTTTGGGGTGCTAGTGTGCTGCTACTCAGGTCACTGTAATCACTAAGCTACATGCACTTTCAAAAATAATTTATGTATGAACTGTAAGAAATATTTTTATCATCCTTAGTTTACATGGCTAATTAAATTACAACGGTTTGTAGTGATAAAGTATACCTCGAGTACGTAACGTAGCAAGCAATATTATTCATACACAGAGATGCACAGGTTAATGACTAGTAGCACTAAAAATCCTTTCTCACATAACAACACAAGAGTACTCCTACTATCGTAAGAAAAAGTTTTATCAGCCATTCAGCCTTAATTCACAAGGCTAAATTACAACGGTTTGTAGCAAAGAAAGAAGAAAGTATACCTGTAATAGTACCATTGTACTCCCTCC